ATTATTTTGCTTCTTTTCTAATTCCAAGTCAATGGGAGAAACTGTGTGACTTTCCTTGATAAACTGATTCTTAGTGTCTTATTCCTTTGTGCTCATAAGATGCACAGAAATGCCCCTAGTAGATATCTACCTGCTGCAGTGGTTGGTAAGAATGTTATTCTAAATTTTGAGTTTCCAGGATAAACTTTTTTAAGTTTATTTTTTATTGTTGACATTATTAAAGATGCCCCCTATTTTCCCCCCCTCTTTCCCCTTCCACCCAGTTCCCACCCCACCCCAGGCCTTTGCCATTCTATTGTCTGTGTCCTTGGGCTTATGCATATATGTATATAAGTTCTTTGGTTAATCTCTTCCCATCCCCCACAACTCTCTCCCCTCTGAGATCTGTCAGTCTGTTCCATCCATCCTTGCCTCTAGATCTATTTTGTTTATCACTTTATTTTGTTCATTAGATTCCACATATAAGTGAGATCATGTGATATTTGTCTTTCTCTGATTGGCTTATTTCACTTAGCATAATGGTCTCCAGGTCATCCATGCTGCAGAAAAGGGTAAGAGATCCTTCTTTTATACAGCCACATAGTATTCCACTGTGTAAATGTACCACAGATTTTTTATCCACTCATCTACTGATGGGCATTTGTCTGTTTCCAGATCTTAGCTATTATAAATAATGCTGCTATGAACATAGGAGTTCACATTTTCTTTCTGATTGGTGTTTCAGGATTCTTAGGCTATATTTCCAGAAGTGGGATCACTGAGTCAAGCTTCAGTGCCATTTTTAATTTTTTTGAGGAGACTCCATACTGTTTTCCACAGTGTCTGCAGCCGTCTACATTCCCACCAGCAGTGCACGAGGGTTCCCTTTTCTCCACAAACTCACTAGCACTTGCCTTTTGTTGATTTATTAATGGTAGCCATTCTGACAGCTGTGAGGTGATACCTCATTGTACTTTTAACTTGCATTGCTGAGATGATTGGCATAGGGAAATTTCTGGGATCTCTGTTCTGTTCCATTGATCTATATGGCTGTTCTTGTGCCAGTATCAGACTCTTTTGATTATAATGGCTTTGTAGTACAGTTTTATATCCAGTATCATGATCCCTCCAACTTTCTCGAGATTGCTACAGCTATTCAGGGTCTTTTTTTGGTTCCATATACAATTTTGAAATCTTTGTTTTAGATCTGTGAAATATGCTGATAATATTTTAATAGCAATTGCATTGAATCTATAGATTGCTCTTGGTAGTATGAACATTTTAATGATGTTGATTCTTCCACTCTATGAACATGGCATATGCTTCTACTTATTTGTATCTTCCTCCATTTCTTTTTTCAGTGTCATATAGTTTTCTGAGTACAGGCCTTTTACCTCCTTGGTTAAGTTTATTCCTAGGTATCTTATTTTTTTGTTGTTTTTGCAATAGTAAATTGGATTTTTTTTTTTTAGTTTCACTTTCTGAAAGTTCATTATTAGTGTATAACAATGCCATTGATTTCTGTATATTAATTTTGTATCCTGCTACTTTGCCAAATTCATTTATTAAGTATAGTAATTTTTTGGTGGAGTTTTTAGGGTTTTATATGTAAAATATCATGTCATCTGTGAATAATGAGTTTTATTTCCTCCTTTCCAATTTTGATGCCTCTTATTTCTTCTTCTTGTCTGGTTGCTGTGGCTAGAATTTCTAGTACAACATTGAATAAGAGTGGTGAAAGCGTATATCCCTGTCTTGATCCTGTTCTTAAGACAAATGCTTTTAGTTTTTACTCATTTAGTATATTGTTGACTGTAAGTTTGTCATATATGACCTTTATTGTGTTGAGGTATGGTTCTCTTATTCCCACTTTGCTGAGAGTTTTTGTAAAAAATGGGTGCTGGAGCCCAGTCGATGTGGCTCAGTATTTGAGGGTCGACCCATAAACTAGGAGGTCATGGTTCAATTCCTGGTTAAGACACATGCCTGGGTTGTGGGCTCAGAGCCCAGTAGGGGGTGTGTAGGAGGCAGCTGATCAATGATTCTCTTATCATTGATGTTTCTATCTCTCTCCCTCTACCTTCCTTTCTCTGAAATCAATAAAAAATATATTTAAAAAATGGGTGCTGAATTTTGTCAAATGCTTTTTCTGCATCTATTGATATGATCATGTGATTTTTATTCTTCATTTTATATGGTGTATCACATTTATTGATTTGAAATTACTGTACCAGCCTTGCATCCCTGGAATAAATCCCACTTGGTCATGGTGTATGATCTTTTTCATGTATTGCTGGATCATATTTGATAGAAGTTTGCTGGGAGTTTATGATTATTATTATTATTATTGCTACAATTTCATTAGTTGTAATCAGCCTTTTCAGGTTTTCTGGGTCTTCCTGGTTCAGTTTTGGAAGAGCTTCCAGGTATGTTCTATTTCACCCAGGTTGTCCATTTTGTTTGCATATAATTTTTCATACCATTTTCTTACAATCTTTTGTATTTCTGTGGTGTCAGTTGTTACTTTGCCTCTTCCATTTCTGACTTTATATATTTGGGTCCTCTCTCTTTGCTTCTTGATCAGTCTGGCTAAAAGTTCATCAGTCTTGCTTATCTTTTCAAAGAACAAGCTCTTGGTTTCATTGATCTTTTGTATTGTCTTTTTAGTTTCTGTCATTTATTTCTACTCTGATCTTTATTATTTCCTTCCTTCTAGTTTAGTCTTTGCTTGTTGTTCTCTTTCAAATTCTATTAGTAGTAGGGTTAGATCCTTTATTTCAGCTTTTTCTTGTGTCTTGGGGTAGGCCTGTAATGCTATGAACTTCCTTCTCAGGACTGCTTTTGTTGTAACCCATAGATTTGTGGTTGTTGTGTGTTCATTTTTGTTTGTTCCCAGGTAGTTTTTTATTTCTTCCTTGATTTCATTGGTAACTCAATTTAAATCCATTGTTTAATAACATGCTATTTACCTTCCATGTGTTTGACTGTTTTTGAGTTTTTTTGTTGTAGTTGATTTCTAGTTTCATGCCTCTGTGATCCGGGAAGATGCTTGATATGATTTCAATCTTTTTGAACTTGCAAAGACTTATTTTGTATCCTAACATGTGGCCTACCTTTCAGAATGTCCCATGTGCACTTGAGAAGAATATATATTCTCTAGCTTTAGAATGAAATGTTCTGTAAATATCAATTAAACCCACCTGCTTTATTGTGTCATTTAAGGTTCAAGGTGAATGTGAATTTTCAAACAAGAGGAAGTATATTGAGACCTTACTGTTTGCAAGGAAGAGACCCGCCCCTGCACTCTTGAATAATAAGGCTTATTCATAACGCAAAAACAGTGTCTCAGAAGCTTGTAATTATGCCCAGTAATTCTGTTGCCCTTGTTCTTTGCTCCTTTCTCCAGTCTCTAGGCAGTGACTCCGATTGGGTCAGTGACTTGGTTACCAACGACTATGGAGCATTCCTTGCTGGAGTGAAATCAATATTGAGTCCTATTAGTTTTAGCCAAAATAAGACAGTTGTTTTAGATCAATACATATGACTTGTAAACTACAGCTGGGAGAACTTTCTAAAGCTTCTTTGGAAGCAAAGCCAGCCTTTGGGAAGGTACAAGTACTTAAGCTTCTTGAACCTGACCAGTAAGGGAATAAAAGATATTTCTGTCTATAAATATGATGGGGAAGAACTAAATTACAAGATAAGCTCAAATTGAATTCGTTTGCAAATGAAGGAGAGATAATTGCTCTGCCCTTAAGAAAAGACCTGCAATACTGTTGGGTGGCTTTAAGGCAAATCAATTAACACTATCTACTTTAGTTTGCTTATCTTAAAGTAAATATGATATAAAGTTTTCCTTGCTCAATAATTGTACACATCAGGGATAATGTATGTTAAATGACCATCAATGTGACCCTGGCCAGTGTGGCTTAATTGGTTGAGCATGGTCCCATGATCAAAGAGGTCAAATATTCCATTCCTGGTCAGAGCACATGCTCAGGTTGAGGACTCAATCCCCAATAGGGAGCTGCAGGAAGCAGCCAGTTAATCTCTCTCTCTCTCTCTCTCTCTCTCTCTCTCTCTCTCTCTCTCTCTCTCCCCCACCCCTCTCTCCCTCTCCCTCTCCCTCTCCCTCTCCCTCTCCCTCTCCCTCTCCCTCTCCCTCTCCCTTTCTCTCTCTCTCTAAAATCAATAGAAACCTTTAAAAAAATGGCCAACCCTGTGTAGAGACAACAGGTAAAGTAACTGTTGTGATTATTACTATTACTCTTGCCTGCTCAGACAATAGGAAGGGGACTTTACAATGAATATTCAAGAATCTATAAATTCTTCCTCACCGTACAATGGTTAAGATCATGGGTTATGTGGGATTAAGACTACTTCCTAGCTATGAGATTTTAGACAAGTTATTTAATCTAATGTGACTCAATTATCTCTACTGTAAAATGGGATAAGATTACTTTCTATCACAAAGAGCTCTTATGGGGATTAAATGAAATAAACTAAGTCCTGTTTAGAACAATGCCTGGCATACAATAAACACTTAGTACATGTTCTCTGTTAAGCTATCAATCTTTATTTCATGAATCCTGAAACTGAGGCTCATGATTTGCCATGTTAGTAGGTAATGTAGGGGGTGCTGAAAGACCTTCTTTCCCTTCTTTTCTCCCTTTTTTTTCTTTCCTCCCTTTCTTCCTCATATATCATATTTATTGGATTGGATTGAGATACAGTGATTCCTGCCTACTTTATTGGGATTTAGGACATCTGATTTCATTTTCTTTTACCTACAGCCCCTGCTTTTGCCAGGGCACCAATAAGTACTCACATATCTTGCTTCCACTGTAATAAAATCATATTATACTTTTATCTTTTGCCACTAGCCTACAATGATTAGCTGTCATGTTCAATGTCCCAAGTTTCTTATTTGAATCTTCATACTTGAGAAATCAATAAGGTCAAGGAAATAAGAACCAGTGTTTACATAAGTGTTTATTAGGCTTTTCTTTATCATCTTTCAGGTCTTGTAGAAATTTGCCTGATGCACCCCCTCGATGTGGTGAAAACCAGGTAAGGTTCTGCATGAACAAGTTTTATTGACTTTGGCTGATATCCAAATTAAGGTCTGTCAGAACACTAAATGCTAGAACTTGTCCCAGGCCGGTAGCTTCTCCCAATAATGGCATTTGTATTTACTTCTTAAAGAAAATACTATTTGACAGATAAAATGTGAACAGTGAAAAGCATTTCTGGATTGAGGTCATCTGAAGGTATATAATATTTTACTGCCTTCACATGACAACCATAAGGTATGATTTGTGGCTAAACTGGTTGAGGTAAATATATCAAAATGATGTAAAAACTAAACCTTAGTGAATTATTATAGCGGACTTTCATTTGGCATTGTATATAACAGATTACTATTTAATAGTCAGCATTTTGGTGTGAGATTCCAAAATTTCAGCCAAACTTCTTAAATCAGGGGTCCTCAAACTACGGCTCATGGGCCACATGCGGCCCACTGAAAACATTTATCTGGCCTGCCAGGTGTTTTTGCCTCCACTGCCTCTCCTGCTTAGCAGCCGACTCATCCCGGGCCCACAGTGTGCATGTGTGGAATGTCTGAGGGACAGTGAACTGGCCCCCTGTTTAAAAAGTTTGAGGACCTCTGTCTTAAATAGTACTTAAAGAATTTATTCCTATAACTGTTTGCCAATGCAAAGTGCCATGTTTCCAGGAAAATGCATTTGCTCTTAAAATTATCCTATCTAATAAAAGAGTAATATGCAAATTTACCATCACTCCCTCACTCCGTCAGTCCATCACAAAGATGGCGGTGGCCACGGAGCTGGAGTGAGCAAGAGGCTTAGGTTGCCCCCAGCGATGGAGGAAGCCAAGCTTCCTGCCTGCCCTGGCCAGCCCTGAGCTCCACTCAAGGCTACAAAGTTTCAATTATAGAAGTTAAGTAAATCCCAGATACCTGCTTCCAGCCCGCAGGTGTGGCCAGCCTGAAAATGGCCATTAGCCCCTCACCCAGGCTGGTCAGGCACCCCAGTGGGAACCCCCCCACCCCAAAGGGGCTGTGGCCAGCCTGAAAACAGTCCTCAGCCTCTCACCCAGGCTGGCCAGGCACCCCAGTGGGGACCCCCACCCTGATCCGGGACACCCTTCAGGGCAAACCAGCAGGCCCCCATCCATGTACCAGGCCTCTATCTTATATAATAAAAGGGTAATATGCAAATTGACCCTAACAACAAAACGACTGGGAATGACTGGTCACTATGACACACACTGACCACCAGGGGGCAGAAGCTCAATGCAGGAGATGCCCCGTGGTGGTCAGTGCACTCCCACAGGGGGAGCTCTGCTCAGCCACAAGCCAGGCTGATGGCTGCCAGCACTGCGGTGGTGGCGGGAGCCTCTCCCCCTTCCTCAGCAGCGCTAAGGATGTCTGACTGCAGCTTAGGCCCGCTCCCTGCTGGCAAATGGACATCCCCCGAGGGCTCCCGGGCTGCCAGAGGGATATCTGACTGCCAGCTTAGGCCCAATCCCCTAGGGAGCGGGCCTAAGCCAGCAGGTGGACATCCCCCAAGCTGTCCCAGACCCTGAGTGCACAAAATTTTGTGCATTAGGCCTCTAGTATACAAATAAGGGCAGTGTATTAAATCTATTTACCAAGAGGAAAAAATCTTATGGGTTTTAATATGATTGAGAGCATTTTAAAAAGTTAAACCTGTGCCTGAGTTATTGAACTCTCTCTCTCTCTCTCTCTCTCTCTCTCTCTCTCTCTCTCATTAGAAGCTCTTAGAATGTAGTGAAAGTTTTCATTTATTTGTATTAAAACCAAGAACACGCCCTAGCCAGCTTGGCTCAGTGGATAGAGTGTTGACCTGTGGACTGAAGGGTTGTAGGTTTGATTCTGGTCAAGGGCATATGCCTGGATTGTGGGCTCGATCCCCAGTAGGGGGCATGCAGGAGGCAGCTGATCAATTCTCTCTCATTAGATGTTTCTATCGCTCTCTCCCTCTCCCTTCCTCTCTGAAATCAATAAAAATATATTAAAAAACAAAACAGAACAAAAACTAAGAACACTAATACCGAGGTTGCAACTTAATAGTGAATAGGGACATGCAACAATGGAGGTCAAACAAACCCCACTGCCACAATTAGGAAATACAGTAGTCTCCTTTATGTATGGTTTCTCTTTATGTCTTTCTGAGTAACATGATAAAATCTCACATCATCCTACTCCATCCTGCTCAGGACATGAGTCACCCCTTTATCCAAAGTATCCACACTGTATGTGTAGTATAATAAGGTATTTTGAGAGAGAGAGAAACCATATTCATATAACTTTTATTACAGAATACTGCTGTAATTGTTCTATTTCATTATTAATTATTGTTGTTAATCTCTTACTATGCCTGATTTATAAGTTGAACTTTGTCATATGTGTGTATAGGTATAACCACAGCACCTATAAGATTTGGTACTACTCATGGTTTCATGCATTCACTGAGGGTCTTGGAACATATCCCCCACAGATAAGGGTGGATTACTGTACTTGCTGATCCAGGCTGGTCATTGAGTGGACATGTTGCTTAATTTATCCAAAGAGGCTGAAGAATCTTAGACTGGTTGCTGAAAGCAAAGAAAGGTGACTGTGGCCTGCATATCATATTATATTTCTAATAGAGGTAGAGAAGAAGAGAAATTGGCCTCTGCCGTAGCTTGGGCTAACAAAATAGCACAGATTGGTGGCTTAAGAAACAGGCATTTATTTCTCATAGTTCTTGAGGCTGGGAAATCCAAGATCAAGGTGCCAGTCAGTTTGGTTCTTGGTGTGGGCCCTCCTCCTGACTTATAGACAGTCACCTTCTTTCCCTATCCTCTCATGGCAGAGAGAGGGGCTCGGATGTCTCTTCTTTTTCTTATGGGGGCACTAATCCCATCATGGGGCTCCCCCCATGGCCTCATCTAAACCTAATTACTTCCCTAAAGTCTCAGCTTCAACTACCATCACATTTGGGGGTTAGGACTTCAAAATATGAATTTGGGGGTTTGTAAATATTCAGTCCATAACAGCCTCACGTCACCAAACCCAAACAGAGAGAACAAGACCACAAATTATATTCAAACATGTGTGTACTCCCTGGACTGTCTTTTTTTAAATATAAATAAATTATATTTTATTACTTATTTTATTTTACTTTTTAATAAATCTTTATTGTTGAAAGTATTACATATGTCCCTTACCCCCATTGCCTTCTCCATACCCCTCCCCACAAGACCACACCACCCTACCATGAGAAAGTAAAATTCACTGCCATGTCTTTCTTAGACTTCATGTTATCTTCTTGAAAAGCCAGAACATTTTTGCTCTTCTTGCTGAGGAATAAAACTGTTTTGTTTGTTTTTTCACGTAAGGGAAACAGCCTAAATTTTTGAATTGTTCAAATGAGCATGAAGGAGAAACAAGAATGATTTGAACAAGGTATCATATTGAAACTACGATTATTCAGTCACTCAATCCTTCACTCATCCATTTAGCAACATGTATTGAGTATCTGGTATTATTTGGGTTCTAGGCTAGCTTTGCCCTCAAAGAGCTTACAGTCTGATGTGCTAATAAGAATCTCATCACAATGAATTTCAAAAACTATAATACAATGACCGTTGAACAAAGTAGGTGCCGACCCCCTGCACAGTCAAAAATTTGCATATAACTACTATATAATTTCTTTCTACTGGAGTTGAATAGAATACTTCTTAAAATGGATGTGCCAAGTTACTGGGGCTTTATATCTCCTTTGTTATGTAGATATTTTCATGAAAATTGCATTGATTTATTGAAATTAGTCACATGCCCTTGCCTAGCTCCCGGGGGAGGGAAAATAAAATCCTCCCACGTGCACTAAAAGAGAAGGGAACTGGATACTGGATGGTATTTGACCTGCATAATAATAAAAAGTATATTGAGTCAAAACCCACAATTATAGAGTAAACTGAAAGCCCAAAATATATGCAACTGATTTTTCAATAGAAATAGAATACGCAAGAGTGGTAGCATTTATCACTGAGCACCAACACACAGGTGATAAGGAGTAGACAGAACAGAGTAAATAATGCTAAAGTATTTTCAATATTATATATATTGTATAGGAGATAACTACATTTATAAATAACATAAACTGTAAACTACAAGAGATAATATCTGAAACCATGTAGCATTAGTTATTTGAGCAGGTCACTTTCCTAAATGACATCCAAGAGCACTGGGTTCCAAATTATTTCAGGGATTATCCAAGTGGGGCATAGCATACATCAGACCAAACCTCACTTGCTTTATAGAATTTTTATGAGCTGCTTTGCCTCTTCTTATATATCTTTACTTGAAGGTTAGTACTTAATCAACGTGAGTATAGAAATGTTTCATTTCCCACAATATCTCAAAATAAATGTGTTCACTTCTTCAAATCTAGTCTCTTCTTTTGGCAAAATAAATGTGTTTACTTTTTCAAGTCTAATCTTTTCTTTTGAGATCCTATTTGTGCCTAACCCTTTTATTTGCTGAGTGAAAGATAACAGGTTCTAAAAATATATTTTCAAATTCTTTCTTCACAGAGATTTTTTTCCATTATTTTTTTCACTTTGTAAATGATCAATTCTGTTAACCCAGGCTGGAGGAATAAAGGGAAGTGGTGGTGTTACCAGAGGCTGGGAGGCTGGTAGGAGCTGTAACCATAGAAAATCTGGTCTAGTCATAGCTGGAGGCTCAGAGAAGCACCAGCCACTGCCTAAAATTCACTGCCTGGGGCAGACAAAGAGTATGAGAAATACTCTAGTCTCTCCTTTTCCACATTCTGCAACCTCCCTTCAGTGCTCCTGTATCTGAGCTCATGGAAGCCTGGGAAACCAGCCTCACAGAGGGAAGTCCCTCTGCATAACAGAGCAGAGCAAAACAAAACAAGGGAAGCCTGAGAAATGGGCCTGAAGACAAATAGAACCAGGACTGACATACTATTATTTTATTTTATTTTATTTTATTTTATTATTTTATTTTTAAATCT